GCCTTCTATCAGACTCGACATGAGCCAGAAACGGCCCCTGTGCTTTGCAATAGTGCATCTCGGCTGATGACAATGACCCTTGTGCAGCAGTGACACTTTTGGAACTGGTTCCTTTAAAAGGGATGCTCATTGCTGCTCTGTGGGAGGGGAAAGGCCTCAGCATGGCCCTCTCTCTTCCAGAGAGCAGAGGGGTTTGCCACCAAGACCCCCATGGGCGCCGACTCAGGAAGTGGCACAAAGGGCAGCAGGGTCCAAGCATGTCCCTTTCTTGCCTCTCTTCTGTCTGCTCGGCACTGAAATGGCTCATGAATATAATGTTGTCCTTTTCCCCAAGGCTGTCTGTAATCAACTGCAGATTGGGATCCAATGAAGGGCTGGATCCTGACCCCTAGGGCCCCAGGTAGGGCAGATTACATGCGTCTCCTTTCCCCGTCCTGGAAACCCTTGGGTGACCGGCAGCTAGGCCGGGCCCAAATCAGGAGGTCTGCAGAGCATTGCTTGATGCCACTGTGGGACATCTCCAGACTCAAGACACTCACAAAACAAGACTCTTTGCTCTCAAGCTTTGGCCGGAGACCCCACATTGCTAAGTCCAATGCGAGTTCCCGGCGCCAACTTCACTTGCCTTCTCGGCAGCACTGCCCCTTCCCTTGCCTTTTCCACCTTCTCTCTGCCATACCTTTCTCAGCCTCCTCTGTTGCTTCTCCCTTATCGCCCCAGCCTCCAAATAGCAGTGGTCACGGAGCTGTAGGCCGCCTCTTGTATCTATCTACACTACTCCGCAGGCGACCTCATCCAGACAAACAGGTTTAAACACCTACATGTTGTTGACTTTTCAAAATACAATTTGTCCCAGACTTCTCTCCTGACCTCAGCTGCCTACTTACTTTCTACATTTGGATGTCAAATAGGTATTTCAAACGTGAAGGTGCTAGATGGTTTTCCTGATATTCTGGCCCTGACACCTATTCCTCTCACAGCTTTCCCTATCTCAGTATTCAGTAAATGAGGATTCCACTCTTACTGCTGTTTAGGACAATTACCCTGCAAACACTCTGATTGATTGATTGATTGATTTCTCTCTCTCTTAGATCCAGTATCTGATATATCAGCAAATTATGTCATTTGGGAGCCTGACTGTATTACCTCATTGTTACCAGGACAAGGTGCCACCATCTCTTGAGGCAGGAGCCTCCCCTGGCTCCCTGCCTTGCCCTTGCCCACCTCCTTTCCATTTGGCATGTGGCATCCAGGATGCCTCTGGCAAATGTGGGTCAGGTCTTGTCACTTCTCAGCTCACTGAGTGGCTGCTTAGCTCACTCCTAGTAAAAGTCCAAGATCTTACAGTGATTTTTCTGATCTACTTCCCGGTTACCTCATGCTCTACCTGGTGACCTCATGCTGAACCTCGTCGCCTTCCTCTCTCCCCCTTCCTCACTCCTCTCCTTCTCTCTGTTCCTCATATACATCACCATGCTCCTGCTTGGAGGCCTTTTCACAGGCTGCTCCCTCTTACCAGAATGCTCTGTTCCCAAGTAGCTATAGCATTCGTTTCTTTACCGTCTTCAAGTCTTCATTCAAATGCCACCTTCTCAATGAGGTATTGCCTGGCCACCCTGCCTAAATTACAGTCTCTCAATACTTCTGTCCCCCTCGCACTCTTCCATCTTTTGGCACGGTACTTATCACTCGCTGACATCTATTTTATTGTCGGTCTCCTCTCTAGAAGGGAAGTTCCACAAGGGCAGGGGTGTTTGACTGCTTTGCTCATTGCCATCTCCCCTGCACCTGACACAGAGCCTGGCACAGAGCAGGCCTTTAACTGGCAGATGGATGGGTAGAAGCATGAACTGGAATTTATTTTTGTATGTAATTTACCAGCTGCATCATTTATTCTAATTACTTAGAGAAGTACCTCTTAACTATCCCCTTTTTCTCTGTCTTCCCTAATACTGTTATTTCTACTTCCTCAGTGGTTTTTGTAGGTTTTTCTAGCGAAAATGACTGATTGGGCTCCTGCAGGTATGCCCACTACCAGGTAATGAGGTGTCACTGCGCTGTCCTGCACTGCAGCCACCTCTCCCCCCCACCAGTGGACTCTTGGAAGTGCTGACAGGCTTCCGCCCTGGGGTGAAGCAGAAGCTCCCAGAGCCATTGATAAAGAGTGATAATGCCTTTTATCCATAAAGACTACTTAGTTTTGAGCTGAAAAGAACTGGCAAACACACTATTTTGTAATCTTTTAGCAATTTCAAAGGTTAAGATGCTACTTTAATTGAAATATATACCATTTATAGCAGCATTTCTCACCTTGTATTTGTTTTAAAGGGCAAACTCTGATGTTCTGAAGAAAGGAATATAGTTTCTGAGCCATAGGCTTGCCTTTTCTGCAAATCCGTTAGGTTGCCAATTTCATAATAATATAATCAAATCAATTGCTTTAATTGGACTTCCCCAATGGACACAGTCCTGTAGACTGGTTTCCTGGCTCCATCACCATGTCTCCCACATTCATTTCATTGCATGGGTCTATTTTACTCTACATATTGCTTTCTAATGTACTCATTCCCTTGCCCCACCCCTATAGAACTGTTCCACCACCATTTCTACCATGGAAGGAGGTAGGTTCTCATTCTATTCTCCTAGGACAGGCTGACTGAGGACAAGAAGCAGACACCAAAGGCTCCTCCAGTCATCAGGGAAGAGTACGAGATGGGAGGAACAATAGTCTCCAGAGTCTGATTTCATCCATATTTGGGCTTTTGAAAATCTTGGCAGAGATTCTGTCCACTGGAATAGGCAGTTCATCACGCTCTTCCCAAAGCTTGGCCAAGAATGTGGGAAGAGAGGCCTTGTCCCTGTGATCTGCTCCCTGCAGCAAAGAATTCTCCATGGAATTTACCCATTTAATGGTCAGGACATGGAAGCGGCACACTTCTCCTCAGAAGCTCTTGCTTTAGGAGAGAACAGAATAACTGCGTGTGTCTGTGGGCAGCAACTGACTGCTAAGCAAGTAGCGGATGCCGCACATTTTTAATAGTATGCTAAGAAACTTGCCATCAGCGTTAATTGTGACCTTGGGGCTCCACCCTGACTTAGGATGCAGAGAGGGGCCAAGATACCAGTTTCCGTGTTTCTGAGGCAAGCTTCTCTGTGGTATTTATTTACCATGCCACCCCGTGCCACAAGCTAATGAACTATTCCACAGTTGCAGCAACACTATAATAGAATCTGCCAAGCATTTTTCCAGGAAGACCCTCAGTGGCATCATTGCTCATTGTTACAATCCATTGAAGGCCTTGTCTTCCAACTTGCAAAATGACTTAGTAGAGCGTGAAGGCCTCCTTAGGTTATTAAATTATGCCGTTACCGGTCCCTTGTTGTTTGTGTGTTTTAATTTCGTATTTGCTCCTGAGCAGTTATCAGAAAGGGAGGAGCTGGTGGATGGCTTCTCAGTCTCTGCAATGAGGGAGCAGAGATTCTGTTCTTGTGAACATCTTTGGCTGTCTTCTTCCCTACTTCCTCCACCTGACCATTCTCTAGACTGCCAGTTAGAATGCAGATACTAACGAGTAGAAGCATACAGAAATCAGTTGGGGAGTTTGAACATGTGGACGTAACTAATGCCTACTCACAAGACTGAGGAACTAGACTCACTGTATTTACATACTTTTGCTAGGATATATATGTACACATGTACCTACACACACGGGGGTTTAAAAACTGATAGGAAGACCATCATTTTCTCTGGGTCTCCTGACAGTCCTGCGGCCTTCCTGGCCTCCCTAAGGAGAGGAGCATTTGATCAGTAACGACATCCTGCTTTCCCTCCATCAGTGTCCCTGAGCCCCGGGGGACTTGTCATCTCCCTCCCCACTCTGGGGATGTTTCTGGCTTCCCACCTTCACCTGCATGACCCCATACAGTAGCCGCCTGGGATGGCTATTTAACCTGTTTGGTTCCTGACCTCCCTGCATGCTCAATGTTTAGGAACTGTTTTAAAGTTACGTTGCTTGAGGGCAAAAATGCACTTGTGCAAGACATGAAATGAGAGAGAAAGACTGCACAGAGAAGGAGACAGGAAGTGTGTGGTAGTCACAGAGATGGGCATCAAATGAAATGGGGAGAGTTATTAGAGATAACCAGTGGTCCTCAAACGTACGCGGCAGCGCAATCACCAGTGGGCTTACGTAAACTGATTGCTAGGCTGCATCTGAGTTTCTGAGTCAGTAGATCTGAAGTGCAGCCCAAGAGTCTGCATTTCTAGCAAGTTCCCGGGTGCTGCTGGTGCTGCTGGTTCCGGGACCACACTTGGAGAACCACTGGGCTTATCTGATGAGAGCCTGAATTCCCACTATTCATAATTTTTCCTATTCCTGTGAGTTGGTGTCATCCATCACCCTCATTTCTGTCCCAGCAGTAGCCTAGCCAACAGTCTGCTCATGCCCCTACAGGAAGGGATTTGGCTTCATTTCTATAACCTAACTGTCAAATGCTTCTGGGCTTCCTCAGTCTCCCCATTTAGCATTTTGAATCTGACCTCCCTAGGAGAAACCTTTGGCTCCCTTTCCTATGAGAAAGTGCAATGGTGCTTGGAAGTCTGCTGCAAAGGGGGCAAGAATCCTGCTTTCCAGGGAGCTGCACGGTGAAATTATTCTTTTGAACAAGGCTGAAGCAGGGAGCCTGCCCCTCTTCCCAAGGAGATGGAGCCTGGAGGAAGAGGCCCAGCTTAGAAATAGAGAGTTTACCTTGACAAAATCTCAGCTGTCTTTAAGATCAAAGATTCTAAAACGAATATGGGGCCTTATAGATCAACAGCAATTATTTCACATCTGTGACTAACTTCTATGAGTAGCAAATGACGGTGATCAATGAGACCAGTGTTGCTCCAGGGAGACAAGTAACCGTAAAGAAAGATCGGTGGTGAAAGGTTCCTGCTGTCCTCACCACCATCTCTTCCCTCTCCCAGAACCCAGTCAAAACAGAGGAGGGCTGCTCACTGTTTCGGGGCTTTTCCTCATCCATGCCTTCGTCCTCGTTCTCGGGGTCGATGTCTTCTGCCTGTGTGATCCAGTCCAGGTAGCCTTTCAGGTCCTCTTCCAGCTGCTGCTTCTCTCGCAGCTTTTGGAAATCTCCTCGAGCCTTGGCTTTCTCCCTTTCTTTGGAGAACTCTCTGCAGAGAGTGTGGAGTGGACAGGGCAGGGCAGTGCATGGATGGAAGGAAGGAGCGGGTAGGGCATGAAGGAGAGACGGGAACAAGGGGAAACGAAAGTGAATCGCTTTGCACTAGGCAGCCTGCCCACGTACCCACACTTCCACAGACAGCTTTCTCTAGTCCTCCCAGGTTTTGTCTTTACTCTCACATAAATGGAAGGAGTCACTGAAGGGGAGGGATGAAATCCATTTCCTTTTTTCCTGGATCACGATTACAGGTTTTTCCTTTAATTAAACTCTACTCCAGTGACCTGGAAACTCCTTCTGAACAGTAACCCAAAAAACCTCTATCAACAGTATGGAACATGCATTTATTTTGCATTTCCCCCAGTATTGGGTGGCAGTAGAAAATTATTGAGAGCCTCTGGATGACAGAAAGTGTTAGGAGCAGTGGCATGCTGATGCCCACTCAACCACAGTGGCTCCCGAGAGCCACCTGTGTGTGGTTCTTCCCAACTCTGGCTTCAGTGAGGTCTCCACGATGGCTTGAAATTGGCCATGGTGGGAGTATTAACACCATGGAAAATGGCAAATGTTATAAACTAGGGCTTTCCCCAAGCCCAGTGAGCCAAGTATCAAACATTCACCAGCACACCACTGATTTGAGACTCGAAGGACTGAATCTCCTCGGGCTCCATTCTCATGACTAGGTTTCATCCTGCCACTCTTAGCTGCCTGGAAGGATTTCTAATCTAGAGAAAGTCCTTTCTCACATGGGAACAAATGAGGATTCCAAACACAAGAAAATGTCCTGGGGGTCTCCCTTTTTGGTTAAAAAAGAAATCTAATCGGAATGGAAAAATACATAAAATCAAGCTGAAATAAAAGTTAAATGATGCACTCACTTTAAGGTAATAATGAGTAGAAACTGGAATTCATGGGGTTTGCTGGAAGAAGGGCCTATTGAAAAATTTGACAGAGTGGCTGTTTCTTTGTTATTTTCTATGATTCTGTCCTTATTTCCCATCTGACTTCGAATTTATTTTCCAAGCAAGGTGGGGCTTGCAGCAGAAGACGATAATCAAGAAGGCTAATTCTTAACTTGCAAAGCCAGGAGCATTCCTGTGTTTAATACTCAGTCTGTGGGAAGTGGGCCTTTCAGTGATGTGTGTGTGTGTGTTGCACTGAGCATCTCAATTCTTAGAAACATGATTCCTCCTTCTCTCACCAGTAAAGGTACATAGTTCAGGGTGGAAGGCTCCAGAAACCACCTTGCAAGAATTTCTTGCACAAGCCAAACTCTCTATAGAAAAGGCACCTTGGAAGGAAGGACACACCAACAAACCATAGGGGCAAAGGCTCAGCTCCTGAATCCACTCGGTGATGTTGGGTAGCTCACCACACACAATGCTGACTATTTGCATCTTGCTAGTGATGCTCAGGAGAGCACAGATTTTAGCACTCACCATTTTTATGGTGAAAAGGCGGTGGGGCTGGGAGTGGCCTAGGGAACTTTTTAAATTGGGAGATGTGGGGGCTCTCAAGCTAATGAGCTCTCTTCAAATGCTGCCTTAATGATGCTCTGGTTTGGATGGAATTTTCTTCTTAAATTTGATTGAATCCAATTCTAATTGGATTGAACTTGCTCTTTCTTGGGCTTCCTGCCAACTGGCGGTACCTTCGTTTCCTTCCCAGGGAGTTTAATGCCAGGGGAAAGGGCCAGATTAACATCTTGCAGTGAAGGTGGAAGCCTTGCTCTCTCTCTCCTTTTGTCCCTCTCTCCTTTTGTTATTGGGGGTAGGCATGGAAAGATGCCAGCCCCTCTGCCCCCAAACCTCTATACCTGGTCATACTGCCCCAGGACATAGGCTTGCTCTTTGGAGACAGTCACTTCATATAGAGGATCCCTCCCCATGCCAATCAATTCTAGAACTACACTTCTGGACCCCCTCTCTTTATTCTCCTTCTGCCCACAAACATTTGTACTCTCCACTCCTTTTCCTGTGGAGTGGGTTTAGGTTGTAAGGGGACTAAATAGCCGAGGGTTTACTTTAGCTCTTTTGGAATATTTTGCAGAGGGTCCAAATTCTAGTTTTTTAACAACTACCCATCCTTCTTCTAGAGTTGAGAGACTAGGACTGGGATCAAACTGGGGTAGGGACGATGGACTCAGTCTTGTTACAGCATCTGCCCTGTGGCATAAAAGCTCACCACTTGTACCCCAAGACCTCTGGGAACTCAAAATAAATATCCACTGGGAGAAAAGAAAACTGAGGTGTGACGACGGTGTGAGAAGCATAGAAAAGTGGCAGGGTCAGATTTGTAGCCCCGTGGCTCCCCTTGGCCACCAGGGAGCGTGGGGCACAATCAGGCCCCATGCAGTGGGTTTCTCCGGGTGGCAGTGCCTGGCTCTGTTTATCTACTTGCCTGGATGCCGGCCATTCACCTGCTCTGGGGACTGAGCTAATGAAGACATGAGGCCCCTGCCTGATGGGCAGTGCTGGGCCCAGGGACCAGGGCTGGCTAGACAATTAGTCACAGCTGTGGGGTTTGTCATGCAGCAGAAGCACAACTCTGGCCAGCAACAGCCAACATGAAAAATGAGGATGGAGTGCAGAGCCAGAGGACCTGGACTCACTAATACAGAAACCAGCATGCCAAGGGAGGGGCATGTGGAAAACCCAGTCAATACAGACGCTGGTGCTCTAGGCTCTCTATAATCAGTACAGTTGATCCTCATTATTTAGGTTCTGTATTTGCAAATTTGCCTACTCGCTAAAATTTATTTCTAACCCCTGAGCGAATAACTGCTATGCCTTTGAGGTTATCTGCAGACATCTGTAGAATGGCAAAAGACTGGAGTCACATCCCCAGCTGAGGTCAAACAAGGTGATGCTCTGCATGCTTGTTTCAGCTTAGACTGTGAACAAAGGGCTTTTTTAGGATCTGTTTAGTGCCACATATGTGTGCCTTTTGTTGGTAATTTTGCAGTTCAAAATGGCGCCCAAGCATACTGCTGAAGTGCTGCCCAGTGTCCCTAGGTACAAGAAGGCTGCCTTGTGCCTCACAGAGAAAATACATGTGTTGGACAAGCCTTGTTCACGCTTGAGTTACAGAGATGTTGGCCATAAATTCGATGTTAACAAATCCACAGCATATATCAAATAAAGTGTATTTAAATAAAAACAAACAAAATACACGGTTATGTACTGCTCATTTGATAAACATGCTGTGATCAGAGACTTGCGGGAACCTAATCTTGTATTTCTCCTAAGAGCATGTTCAGTATTTGATACTCAGCATTTGTGGTGACTTCACAGAATAATAAGAACTGACTGTCTATGTTGCTGTCTCTTCTGCTTCCACCCACAAGGCATGTATGGCCCAGCATTTCCCTTGTTTCCTTCTGGACCTGCGTGCTGGGCCACAGTCTGGTTATGTTCTCAGGATGTAAAATGCCTGCCAACCAGGCTCTTTGCTTTTGGGGGAAGGGAGATATGCCCATTTCCCAGGGCGGGGAAGAACCATGTGCCTATCCATTGGAGAAATCCTGGGCCCCTTGTCAACTGAAAGCCCTTGTCTGGAGCCCTCTGTTCACAATCACTTAAAAACAAAAAGCAGCTACATTCCAGGGTCCAAGACTTTCGATTGATTACAGCTTCCAGTGCAATTTCAAGAATCTCATCGTCACTGCCATTTTAATTCTGATAAGCTGGAGGCTGAGAGTTCTGAAGGGGAAAGCAAATACAACCTGATTCATTCCTGTATAGCACCAGGCCTGTGGCTTGTGAGGGCCCATACATAAAGAACAGGGAAGCACTCTGAAAAACCCAGAGATGCATATCCTATACCCTGACTCTATCACCTGGCCTTGTCAGGAATACGGTGTTCTGGATATGTGAGTATTACAGACAAAAGATACCTAAAGGATCCTTTGATGACCAAAATTTTGGATTATCACCTTTTAAATGAAAGCTTTATGGAGACTTCATGAATGTAGGGAGACTGTCATATTCCCTACATTCATGAGTAGCAAGCTCCAAGCACAATTTAGCCTTTTCTTGGTGACTGAAGGATATAATCTGAGCCTGAGTTACTGCACTGGGCTGTAAAATATTATTCTTAATTGATAGCTGTGGGGGTCATGCCCCCAGTCCCAGAATGCTCCAAGCCTGCAGTGCTGCTGGGTGGGGGCTGTTCTCTCTGAAGGACTGTTGAGATCTGCGGGCCAGCAACCCCGGGGTTCACAGCTCTCCCCGCTGCAGCCATCCAGTGGTGGCTCTGCACCTCTCCTCCCAGGACCCTTGCTCCCCTGGCTGTCCCCAGGAGCCTGACAGGGGCCAGTGCCCCGGCCTGCTCTCCCCCTTCCTCATAGCAGCTTTGGCTCTTCATCCTGCACCCTGCTTCTGGACTGTAACTTCAGGACACAGGATTAACCAAATTGGTTGGGGGAGAGTATAAGATGGAAGTCAGGAATAGAGGCTATGGGTTCACATTGCGGGGTTTAATCTGGACCCTCTGTTTTTTACCTGTTAGAGAAGTGAGGTAGTTTCTCTGTGTAAACCTTACTTTCCTTCTGTTACATGGAGACATGAATAGCACTCAGCTCATAGGGTTGCTGTGAGAGCTGCATGAGCTCCTCCACCAATGAGAACAGAGGCTGGCATGGAGAGTGCTGGTTATCGCTGGTGTGTCATTGCTGCAGTGAACTTCATGGGGTTCTGAGGCTCCTGAAAGCTTCTGAAACGCTGGCTTAACCAGGGCCCTGACTGATGAATAAGTGGGAGTTTTGCTGCATAGTTGTGGTCCTGACTAATTAAGACGCTGACTCAAAATCAAAACCGCCACCACCAGGTGAGCCAGCAGGAGCCTGAGTTTAGGTCATGTTACTTCACGGACTCAGGGTGGCCCATACAGATTGGCGGGCCCTCTTGACAGATTAGAGAGGGCTGCCTCACCCAGGAAGGGAAGCTGCTCTCACAGGGACACTTCTCCGTCTGGGCAGAGGGTGTGCCCACAGACCCACAAAGCCTTGGGAGATGTTCTGCCAGCCATTCAGAGATCCGAGCAGCAGGCTGCTGCTCCGGGAATGAGTCAGAAGCAGGGGCTGGGGAAAGTCTTCAGGAGACCAATGCATAAATTCAAGGACCCACAGGTGCTGAGGTCTGAGGCCTAGTGTTCCTGTTCAGCATCAGCGCACATCCTGAGTATTACCACTTGCCAGACTTTGGGCTAGTGCTTTTACACACCCCTCTCCCTGGGACTGAGTCAGACCAGGAAATGGTCTTCAAACAGCTTTTCTCTCACGTCAGGGGCTGCTATCATTTGACATCTCTCCTTTGATACTATCAGGAAGATGACTTTCCCTGTGGAACCAAGGACTGTGGGCAGACACTCTGCTTGAGGAGGGGCCTCCATAATCTAGTTCCCACTCTCCACATCAGATCACTTACATTTGTTTCAAATCTCGGGGAAGAAAATGGAAGTATTAGACAATCTTCTAAAAGGTCAGAGTTCTGGCTTGTGTTACAGTTCAAGTTCATTCTGTGTACCCAATGGGCAATGATGGGAAGATGGGAGCCTTGTCCTGATATTTACCAGCAAAGGGACATCATTCAAGTCACTTAACACCTGTGGGCTCACTTTCCTCATCTTTAAAAGACAGGGTTGGAGTAGTTCTAACTCTTGATGGTTCTAGTCACTAATTCCAGTTATGATAGGCACCAAGTAAACAATATCATTGTAATGATAGCACCATTATTGAGCATTTATTATAAGCTAAGTATTTTACATAAATGATCTTACTCTATCATCTCAACAACCTATTATCATCTTCATCTTTTTCAGGTGGGTAACTAAAGTTTAAGAAGGTGAAATTGTTCAACATTATGCATCCAGCAAGTGCAGAGCTGGGATATCTGAATTTCTGTCTTAAGTGGGGGTGATGAGATTGATGTTTTCAATGTTTTCACTGGTGATTTGCATATAAACTCAGAGGCATTTTCTCGTGTTGGAACACAAATAGGAAAAATCTTCCACCCTCCAGGCAGCTAATCGGGGGCTTACTTGTCCTTATCACTCCTGGCCCTGAAGGAAGACACTAGTTTCCTGTGTGATCTTACCTTGGCGGAGGCATCGTGTCCTCAAAGCCTCTAACAAGCCACCCACCATGGGAAAGGGTGAGAGTGGAAGCAGACGCCTCCCTTCACCCAATTCCCAAGACTGAATTTGACGATCCTGCACTGCATTAGGCTATGGCAGGAGGTGGGAGTAGTTATTCCCAGTTTATCATGGAGTAAAAATGAAGATCAGTCTTTCTCCTTATGCCTGACTTTCTCCCAGCATTAATGTCCCTGGAGATCTAGGAAAGGCTATTCAAAGCAGCTGGCCTGTCTTGAGCAGAGCAGAAATAGATTGCAGCCCTCCCCTCGTAGCCAAGGCAGCAGAGCATGTCACTGTGAGCAGGTCACCAGGAGCATTTAGGTGTTAGGCCTTGGCATGGCTGGTGTGGGCTTGGGAAGAAGGAAGTGGGCTGAGGAAATGCGGGAAGGCTCCTAGTCGAGGCAGCCATCCCCAGGGCTCCTTGGTGCCCCGCACGTCTGCTGCTTCTACCACTTTTTAAATTTATCTAAGCAAAGGCCAAAATCAGGCAGGCTTTATACTTGGAGCTGAGCAGATAAATGGAGAGGAAAGTATATTCCTTCTCCTCAGCTCTCATATAATCTAGGGCTTTACACAGCTAACTGTCCTTTCCGTTCAGACAAGGGGATGCCAGATATGGACTTCCCAGTCTATGAATTAGAACCAGAGAGAATATTTTTAGTCTGTATTTGTTATTAATATTTTAAATCAAACTCTTATTATCCTGGTTTGGAGGCTCTCCGACGTCTTTACTGTGAGCCTGGCGCACACTGTGACTGGCTCAAAGGGTCAGGCAACAACCAATCTGCAAGACTGCTGCATGTGTTGAAAGCGCACAGTCTGTGAATCTTCCCCCCGGTTCCAGTTGCCAAAGACTTTCCAGCCCTGGAGTCACCATGCTACTCCTTGGGTACAAGCAGAAGCACGCTGCCTACCTGAGTGGCTTCTTCAGGGAGGGAGGGGCTTGGATGATCTGGCAGGGGGCAGGTGGGCCTCGGTATCTCTTGGTGAAGCCTAAACCAGTGGATTGATTGATCCTTGTGAATTTGACCCTCTGCCCAGCCAGGCCAAGGACATTCACTTCAAGGCTCCTGAGGTGGCCCCTTATCCCAGGTTCATCAGGGCCGGGAAAAGAATAAAGCCAGGAATAGCAGAAAGAGTAAATAAAATTGAAAAATCAAGACCTTTTTCCTTGGTCTTGCTTACCCGCTAAGGACACCGAGAACCAAGTTAAGTACAAAAAATGACCCTATGATGATTAGTGTAACAAAATAGATCCAGGGCCAGTCCCTTCCTACGGCATCATTGACCTGGAAGAATGGAATGATAGTTAGTGAGGTGCACACAGCAGTCGAGCACGGCCCAGCCCCCATCACTGGCTCCAGACACCAACCCACGCAGTGCCAGGACCCGATCCTCTAGGTACAAATCAGAGGCCAAACAGCCTGCCAGCCAATGGGTCAGAATTTGCGGTTGAAGGAGACCTTTCCCCCTGGTTTTCCTGGGCCTCATAGGGTCCCATTCCTGAGGATCCTGGCGATGGACAGAGTGGAACCTGGGACCTTGCTCGGCTGCATTGTAAGGAGGACATAGAAACGGTCAGCTTACCCGCTCAACACACCGAGAACCAGATTTAGAACGAAAAAGGATCCAAAGATGACCAGACTGACAAAATACACCCAGGGTAACTCATAGCCCATAGCGTCCTGCATCTGGAAAGACGAAGGAAAGTTAGGAAAGAGAGAAAGCAGAAGTGAGTCAAAGCGAGGAGGCACGTAGAGAAGGGAGCAGAGAGAATCTGGAGGAAACAAATGAGACTGAACTTCGTCTCTGTCTATGTGGATCACGGTCCATTGATACCCTCACATCACATCATTTATATTCAGACTACTTTCCATGCCCTTGACCTGAACTGTCAGGGACTCCTGAAAGGCTCTGCCTTAAGAGAGATCTTGTCTGGCTCTCCCTGTTGTTTTACTGTCTGGAACAAAAAATAATTTCCCCAATGTTTTCTACTCACCTGTCTAACGTGAGGTTAGCTAAAAAAATAAAAAATAATAATAACAACAATTTCTTCAGAAAGGAATGGTTTTAGCTCACTTGGATTTTCATGGCATTAAATCTTCCATTGCACACTGAGCTTGGAGTCAGAAGTGCCTCAGCTCTTACTGCTAGAGCCAGAGATCCGGACCTTCAAGGGTGTGGGGGAAGGAGACCTTCCTAAGGGGCTTGCCCCCCGGATCTGAGCTGGTCCCAGAATTTAAAGGTGAAACCCTATGGCTTCACAAACACTACAGGTCGCAAGCAGGAAAGATGGTCATTTTGGTTTATGTTTTCAGAGAACGGTTCCTGTGACTATAACCACAGCCTGGACCCAGGAAACTGTTACCTGTAACCAACTGGATCATGAGATACCCCATGAAAGGCTACAACACCTAGAGTAGCTGGAGGCCGTGGTGTGCAGAGCCGGTTTCTGCGGGCAATAGAGAGCCACCCTGCTCCATGTTCAGTGACTTCACGACAGTAGCTTGAAATTGGCCATGGTGGACAGAAATGGGCAAGGGATACAGATCCGCCCCCCTCCACCTTGTGGTCCATAACAACTGACTGTTAAACACTCACCAGCACATCACAGGTTAGCAGGTGGGTGTGATAGGGCACAGAGCAGCACTTTTATCAAAGAGGAAATTTATTCTGATTTAGTTTCTCAAATCTATTTCTTTTTGATGCTTTCTGATGAAAGGGCTTAGTCTTATCTCCCAAAAATGTACCCTAAGTTTGTCTTTGTGAATTTGACTTATAGGAATCGAGATTCCTAGGTACAAAGCTTCCTACATGATTTACACTGGTGGTTCTCAGAGTGGGGTCCTGCAGGCCAGCAGCACCTCCTTCAGCAGGAACTTGTTTTGAAACGGACATACTCAGGCCTGACTCTGGGGGTGGGCCCGACAATCCATGTCTTATCCAGCCCTTCAGGTGAATCTGATGCATGTAAAAGTTTGAGAACGCCTCTGCTTTACGGAGCATTCTGTAACTCCCAACTTTATAAGGAGACGGAGAATATTGTGATTTACGTAACCTCTGTTATGCTGCCCAACAGTGTTCCTCAAAGTGGGACCCAAAGACCACCAGGACCAGAGTCACCTGGGAGAGATGTGAACAAAGCAGATTCCTGGGCCCTTCCCCAAGAATGCAGTGAGCCTCAGGACTCTGCATGTTAATTGCCCAGGTGATTCTAAAGCAGGCTGTAGTTTGCTGGACACCCCCAGGTGCCTGAAACGAGTTCCAGGTGTGCTGGGATAGTGCCGCCCCCAACCCCCGGACCCTGGGAAACCTCACCCATGTTCCTAAGTATGCTGGACAAGTATGTTCTTTGCATGCTGTGAACAAAAAAGATGGACAAGTACGAGTGACCTACCTAATCTGACTAATTTGAAATGTTACATTCCAACATATTCTTTGCAAATCTATTAATATTTATCTGGGGTCACTATATTTTAGAGGAATCTACCAAATGTAGTCATGGTGCAAAGGACAAAAATTATGTCAAGGGCTTGGGGGTCATTTGTTAGAACTGAGTCAGGAAGGAAAAGAATAATTCCCACCTATGTCTACTGAGCCATGTTGACTTTAATTCAATTTAATATAAGTTGATTATTTAATGCCACTTCCACACACCTTGCTCTTGTTTTTTACATAGTGCTTATCACTTTCTAATCTATAATTAATTAATTTGTTATGTGTTTGTGTTCCATGCTGGAATGTAAGCTCTATGAAGACAGGCAGTTGTGGTCTGTTTTGTTCACCGGTGTATCCCAGGGGCCTACAACAATGCCTTGTTTGTGGCAGGTACTCAGTAAATGTTTGTTGAGTGAATGAATAAACTTGATATGTGCCAGGCACTGCGGTGTAAAGTGGAAGCCCTTGCTTGAAGGGGAACAGATGAACAACAGGCAATCACAACACAAGGTGATAAATGAAGTGGTGGAAGTAAACATGCAGGGTTCTAGAAGCCCAAAGGCAAAAATGGCTGCACGAGGCAGGAGAAGCAAGCAAGGGCCAGGCCAGGCAGGACAAGGAAGGCAGGAGCAGAGAGGAATCCTGGGATGGAAATAGGGCTTTCCTAGGAACCTGGCAATGGTTAAAAATAGAGCCTACAGCTGGAAAGCCATCCTGGCTCCGGGACGGAGGTTTTCCCAGTGGCTGAGCACTGAAATATCCAACGCAACAGCAGCTGTGAGGAGGGCAGGGCAGAGAGCTCCTCATGTGCCGGAGCTGCCCCATCACAGGGAGTCTGGGAGCCTTCTTCAGCCAGAAGGTAATTAATTATCCGAGCCAAAGCTGCAAAGGAACCCAAAGCAGCAGAGGGAAGTCTTCGCTGCCAGGAGAAAACCAAAACCGCGCTAACACAAGGAGGAGCGAGATTGGCGGAATGAAATTAGGAAGAAGAAAAGCATGGGCGGCCACAGGGAGCTTGGGAGCCACAGAGCACGTGGTGGTGGCTGTGATGGTCATGTGATGTCAGGGTCTGCATGTCACATTTTAATATGGGGAACTGTTACATGATCCTTCTATTATTCTTGGTAGTGGTCTTCTTAGCCTCTACATTGGTCCAAAGAGTATTTACTGAGTACCTGCTGTGTGTAAGACACTGCGTTCTGGGCCACAGTGAAAGCCACAGGGCTGGAAACGGCCCTGAGATGAGAGGAGGCATCTGTGATGGGGCTTCTATGGAAGCCTGGATTCAAGGTCATGGGGGGCCTTTGAGTGTCCTTCTACCTTTCCACTTTCAGATTAAGTCCTGGCTATGAAGATCAGAAGAGGTCCCTTTCTCCTCCTTAACTTAGTGCTTCTTTGCTCTTTTGGGAGGGTGGGGAGGTCAGGAAAAGCCAGAAAAACAAATCAAAACAAAACAAAACAAAACAAAACAAAACAAAAAACTGTGGGCTCTCACCAGAGAAAAGGCACATACATGCAGCCCACTGCACACACTCCCACAGGTGTTCTGGGCCCTGTGGGGCTGACCAGCCTGCTTGTTCCACATTAACCCTAGGAAAGTGCTGCCCCAAGCATGGTGAGGGGATCGAGGGGTCTGTTCTGAGAAAGTTCCCTAGCTCCACCTGGGCCGCACACCGTCTCACCTTCCTCAGGACGGCAAGCAGAGGCAGCCCAGGAGGCGATGGCAGGCTTGCCGCAGTTCATGGCGCTGCCCTGGAGCCCGGCAAGTGGTGAGGAGGAGGGAGGGCAGGGTGACTCCCTGAAATGAGATCTCTCCTGACTGCTTCCTCATGCCCCCTAAATTTTGTGAACACTCAGGCTCACAGAAAATGCGGTCCTTCGGGCCACACATCTCTGATGAGCCAATAAACCCATGAGCCTTGGAGATTTCCTTGAGCCCTTGTTTAGCCGGGGTGTGCTCTCTTCTGTGCCACACACAAGGTGAGTGGCTTCCAGCATCATTAAGAACCTCAAATGAATGGAGCTACAGACCACATCACCCACAGATCTCCCACAGTTAGCCACAAGACCCATAGGTATATCCTGTGGCCAGGGCCATATCCAGGAGACTCATGGTCTCCACCTCTCCCTTGTTGTCCTATGTTTCTGCTTTGATTTCTCCCTTGGCTGTGGAATCGTTCTTTCAGAGGTTCAAGAGGGGGACTAGTAGGTGAGGGGTAGGAGGTAGGATGACAAATGAGAGACCACAGAGCCTCAAGGTGCTCCTAAGACCCCGTCACTCCCTTAGTGAGCAGTGTTCAGCGACCACCAGAGGGGGATTCTCTGGCCTGCCTGGCTCTGGCTAGAGAGGAAAGAGCACCTTTGTTTCCCTTCCTACTTTCTCTTCCTTATTCTAGGCCACCTACTTTTGGGGGCCAACTGGGTAGAGTGTATACAATGCTGGGTGGCTCTGAAGTAGGGCAATGTTTGGGGTGATAGAGTGATGTCTTAAATCAGCTAGAACGGAGCTATTAAGAAGAGAAAGAATAAATACATTCACACTTTCAGAAAATGACCTAGATGGCTGACATCCTTAGTTAGAGGTGAAAAAGAACATGTCCTCCCGAACCATGAAAGCTAGTTGTTTCTCAGGCCTTTAACAAAAGCAGCTCTCTGATTTTCTGAGGGAAGGCCACAGGGAGGTGGCTGCCACCGGCAGCCTCGGTCTCCAGGACAACAGCCAGCAGATGGCCCTGCCTTTGCTGAAACACACACCTTACTACTCAGGAAATCAGCGGACAAAGGGAATACTGAATGAAAAATACAGAAGACCCTTCTGAAACTAACATCTAATTCCTTGGGGGAACCCCAG